AAGGGTGAGTGTTAGTTGCAGTATGTGGAGAACTTCTTCAGTGGAGTTTACTTTTTACTTCCTTCAGTCCTTAGACTTTTAGCTTCTTTTGATACTGAAAAAGCTCTTTTGCCTTTTGAAAACCACTCTATGTCAGAGCTCTACCTTCCTTAGTTGCCATGGTTCTCATAAGCAATAAAAGTAGAATGACACAATTCTTTATCATTTTCATGGAAAGTTGAATGCATAAAGTGTACATCTTAGCACTACTGATATTTGTATGTGAACTGTAACTAAGAAGGAAATATCAGCATGGTAAATAAGGTTGGCTTTGGTGGAAGATCCAGTGTTGGTGACAGCAGCAAGCTAAATCCTGAGAATAAATTACACTACTGGAGAAAGTAACATTGTCTATAGTCATTGTTGGTTGAGCCACTAGGTTAAAATTGGATATAGAGTAAAAGAAAAAAATAGAGTTAAATAGCAGATAGGTGAAGGCAGAAGGTATCATAAAGTATCTTTCACTATAAGTTCTGAAAGCCCATACCAAATACTCACTGAGAACTTAGTACTTTAAACAATTTGAAATTGTTTTGTCAAAAAACAAATTGAATGGAACCACATCTGTTTTGAGAGGGGTTATTGATGGTAACAATGTTTCTATTTTTAAAATATACTTGTTTTGTTATTATTTATCAATTCTTATGAGCAATTCAATTAGTCTTAAATACATTGGTTATACAAAATTGGAAACATAAAAATATATTTTGTGTAATAAATATGTTATTTTTTTAATAAATATGCTATAATTGCTTAGCTCAGTATTGCTAAAAAAATATTTAAATGGTTCTGCTGTTGGCCTAGCAATACAAACCCAATGTACAATGATATTTACCAAGGATAATCTATTTTGAATTTTAAATAAATTTTTGGTGGTTATTTGAAATGTAATGTATTAAATAATTGAAAGATGCCCATATATAGACATATGAATTTAGAGACAAGATAATTTGTTGAGAAATGTTAAGGATAAAACTTGTAGAGTGCCTCAGACATAGCTCAGTGACATAGTGCCTGCCTGGCAAGCACAAGCTTCCTGAGTTCGATTCTGGTACCAAAAATCCAAAACATTGAACAAACAAAAAACAACTTGTAAGAATAGTAATGTACTTCAGAGTGCCACACAAAAAACAAAATACATTAGCTGAATAAAAACTCAATGTAGGTTCCTGTGAAAAGTTACCACAGACTTGGTAGCTTATAAACAATATATTCATTTCTTACAGTTCTAGAGGCTGGAAATTCACGATTGTAGTGTCAGTTTGGTTAAAGCTACCTTCTGGGTTGTAGGCTGGTAACTTCGATTTTCACTTTTCAGAAAGAGAGTAAGGCAGTCTCTGGGGTCCCTTTCACAAGGGCACTAATCTCATTTTGAGAGTTCTACCTTAGTGTCCTAATTCAGCTACCGCCTGAAGTCCACATCCTAACATCATCACCTTGAAAGTTTAGGATTACTATACGTAAGTTTTGAGAGGCACTAATATTCAGTCCCTAAGAAGGCCCCTTCTCCAGAATGGAAATGATCACTGTGAACTAAAGGAGCATGTGAGGCTTTAACGTAAGAGAAGGAAGGAAATAGCAGGAATATTGTAACTTGTCCTCCCCCAAATGCGAGGCAAAGGTGTTCATTGATATGAGAAAGCAGATTCTACAACAACACAATCAGGCTCACAAAACTGAGGCATCATAGAATTCATATGTCAAAACATGTCAAAACAGTAACTGATGACAAAGTAATAATTCTGACATTAATTATGACAGAGTTTTGTTCCTGCTTTTCTTTTCTTTTTTCCTTGTTTATCTGAGTTCTTTTGAAGAAGTTGGAATGGATGTCTTCTCTAACCAAGTATGGTTGCCCTGATGTTTTGTGGACTCAGGCAATTAGTTAAGTGACAGAATAAGGACAGTTAACTTTGCCAGTTTGGTAATTACAAGTCACCAAAATAATCTTGCTTTTGTTAAGTGAGATTTGTAATAAATATCTATGGTAGCAATATCTGTTCTGAATTCACATTTCTACCAGGATGAATAGTGTTTCAGATATTGAAGGTAGAAGAGTACGCTGATGTTGTAGGAAATGAAATACTTGTTTAAACGCAAGAAAAGAGTACACTAATACTGGAAAAGTCTGTGTAGACACATTGAAGTTCAGGAAGCATATTAGAACAATTATATAAGAATAAGTAATAAGCATCATAAAAACATTGGAAAAAAGTAAGCATAAGGCAGAAATTACAGTCTCTTTTCTTTATAAATTACAATACTAAAATGAAGATATTTATGATTCAATGTTTATGTTACCTAGATCATTTGGCTTTATAAAAACACTGAAGTGTTATTTCAATCTTCAAATGATTGTATTGATGGAATAACTGTAATAAATCATTTACTTGGAAAACAAGTGTGTGTATATATGTATGTGTGTGTGAGAGAGAGGATCTGTAATATGGATAAGAATACAAAACTATATTGCCTTTGATGAATTTTTAAACAAAACTATGGGTATAGGTGCATAAAAAACTCCTACCCATTTTATTTAAGACACACACACACACACACACACACACACATATATATATATATAATTTGTTGCATATGTATGTCTATGTATCTTTATATATAGAGGAAGACAGACAGACAAACAGACAGATTATAGTATAAGGAAAGTTTCCATATATTTAGGATATTACAGAGAATGAAACAGAAAAATCTTTATAGATTTTATATTTTATTTAAAAAAATTTTTTAAGACTGTAATCTTACATATTTAAGAAAGGTCTTCTAAGATGGTTTATATATATATATATATTTTTCCCCCCATGGGATTTAAATTCACCAAATACAAATCATCAAATAAAACATAGGAAAGTGTATAAATGTTATTTTTTACTACTAGCATTTACATTAAGAATAGCAATCAACATTTGCTCTTGTAAGTTTATTTCATGATTACCAAAGAACTGTGACACACTAATTAATTTTACAGCACCCAAGAGAGGCCCGCAAGTATGATTTCAGTGTTACAAATGAAGAAACTCTGACCAAAGAGCTGAATTTACAGTTTCTTTCATACCTCCACAGAGCTGTTCAGGAACCCCACAACTACTGCGAGGGTTCAGGTCTTGTATTACTGTGTACCTCTGTGGCACTTTTTTCATTACTCAACATAGACACTGTTTGGGAAGTGATATAGAAGCAATCTTAATGGGGATTGGGTTGCTGAACAGTGTTACAAGATCAGTAGGATTTCAGTTTTATAGTAAAACTATGCTGGTTCATGATCATCTCTTATGTCATTTATACCGACATATAAAGTCAGATATACACTTGCTTGAGAGAAAATAAGATCACTTTCTAAAGACATCATGGTGCTATGGCTTGCAAAACCCTAATAAGAATTTAAATACAATCTTTTCAATGTAATAAAATGAAACCAACCAACAAAAATCAACTAAAGAACAAAGAGAAAAAATCTATAATATTCCATATTAAACTGGCAAACTAATTATTGCTGTATCCACCAAAATCCATTAATGCTCAATTTTTTTTTTTTCTTTTTTGAGACAGGATCTCGTATGCAGTTCAGGCTGGGCTTGAGATCACTTTGTAGCACAGGCTGGCCTTGAACCCACAACGATCCTCCTGCCCCAGCTTCCCTTGTGCTGGGATTACAGGCATGTGCCACTACTCCTGGCTTCATTAATGCTCAATTAATTTAAAATATAAAATACAACACATTCTTTTTATCAGTAAGTAGAGATTTAAGAACAGGCAGCATAGTTCAGTGGAGATAATACAATAGTTACAAATATTATATGATACTAGAATTGCAGAAACCAAATGAATAGGGAGATGAAGCAATTAGAGATAATTTCAATGCAAAAGGCTAATAGGAAGAGGCCTGACAGAAGGTAGGGGAGGACATGGTATTGGAATTTGGGCTGCCAGGCTGGAGCAAGGGAAAACTTTCAAATGGACACAAATACTCTGTCCCCCTTCTCAGGTGAAAAGCAGATTCATCGTCCCCAAAGTTCCTTCACACAAATCTTCCATTCTGGTTTCTCCAAGTTCCACAGCAAACCAGTCAGCCAGTGCTCATAAATAACTACCTGGAATTTCTTTCCTTCCATACTAAATGAACAGCTAGGCTCTGCTCATTAGGGTTATTTTCTTTTAAGGGTGAGCCGATTACCTTACTGCGACAGCCTTGTAACTGGTTTTTCTATTTCTAGTTCTGCTTCCTACTCTGCACATCGGGGTGAATAATCAATGCAGAATGTAAGCTCTTCCACAACAGTCTTCTGCTTAGAACTCCAGAGACATTTTCATTCACTCTAAAGAAAACTGGAATCATGACATGATCAAAAGACCATTTGTGATTGGGCTTTTGCTCTAGTGCTGTGGTTAGATTCCTAATACTGTCAAAATAAAAATTGCACTGTATAAAGTTAAAGTGGCAAGGAAGATTTTATTCAGGATTACTGCAATAGGCGAGAGTGAATGAATTCAGTTCTGCTGAAACAAAGGCTCTGCAGGGGCTTTTAACCATGGAAAGCAGACCCATGGACGACTCGTGTATTTAGATTGGCCTCACCTGAAATGAAGGACCTTTATCTGTCTTCCAGACAGGACCTAGTTTTGCAACTTGAAGCAACATGACCGTGGAAATTAAAGCTTTTAGTCTCCCACAGAAACAGAAATATTTGGGACACCCTCTCTGATGTTTACATTCCAAAGAAATGGATCCAAGGTCCTCAGTGTAGTTAGTCCCTGGGTCCTTAAACTGGCAGGATGCTGAGAAAAGTTTTCCTTGCATCTCAGAGGTACAGAAACAAAATTAACAACTGTAACTATTGTAAAATAATTACTATATGAAAGGAAAATCAGGGCCCAGACTCAGGAAAAAACTTGCTGAAACTTTAGTTGAGAAGATTAATAAAGCCAACTTGGTCTGTACTTACTCTTTTAATCTTCTCAGACTCAGGAACACAAGTTTCTCTCATGTTGCTCCAGCACATTTCTGTTTTACACTTTTTGCATTTGCTAACACTTGTCTGGAGCAAACTCTGCTAACTTATTTGTGGTTCGTTCCCTTCTGTCTTTCTGATTTGTGCTCAGATGTCAACTTGGTAGAATAGAATTTATGATCACCTTACTTAAAAAAAAAAAAACAAAAAACCTTCTTAACATTTCTTATGCCCATTTCTATGCTTTAGTTTTCTCTATATCACTTAAAATCTGTATGGTATCCATAACTGAAATACGAAAAACTTGAGGATTGAGTTTAACTTATTTCTCCTTTATCCTAGGAATAAAACAAATCTTAGATGCTCATGGTACATGCTCAAAAATTTTTATTGCATGTGTCAATTAATAAGATACATCCATATTTTAGTTTTTGAAATGAGGAAAACAAAGATTCTGTGTATTAAGAATACTTAGAGCCATCAAGTCATTTAATCTCAGAGGTATTTATCAATCTATTCAACCTCCACTGACTCTAATAGTTAAAAGTAGATGCATGGTTATAATTTTTCAAAAAAATCATTGAAATTACTTCAGTACATGCACATTAAAATGGAAAATATGATAGCTATTCAATTTAAATGTGCATTTGTGCTGTTTTAACAAGAATTATCTATAGTACCAACTATAATGCAGAGCTCAAGATTAAAAAGAAGATAAATACTGAATGAATGAATGATTATATGTAAGACTGCAGTTATAGAGTCTAAATTGTAAATTAAGATATTTGGCTATTATTTCTGAGCCTGGAAATCATTATAAGCAAAATGGATACATAAGCTAGATGATCTCTTTAATAGCATTGGTTTACTAGTCACCAAAATTCATATTTCTTGTTTTTGTAGAAAGAGTTGTTGAGAAGTAGCAACCTTGTTAGAGGCTGCTAAGATAGATAAAATATTATAGGCACTCACATAGGGCTAGGCCCTCGAAGGAACCAATGCAGAAGACCAGGTACCTTGCAACTGTGGGAGAGACACCCACCTCAAGTTGTGGATTTACTCTGTAAAAATCCCTAGAAAAGGCGAGGTCCTTGGCAACCTATGTAGGACTCTTTGTCTCTCTCTAGGACAGTCGCTTTCCTTCCCCCAACAAATATATTCTGCTCTTAATCTCCATTGTTTCTAAAATTCATTCTTCCATTTTATAGAACACAAACTTGTGCCGGACACCTAGCAGGTTGGGAGTTTCTTTCCCCTACATCAACCTCACAAGAGTCCACATTTCTCATTCTCTTTGATTCTAAGACTCATTCTGGTATTGGAATGATTTATATCACTTCTGGACTGATGTTTAAAGAAGCAAAAATGTCTTTTTCACCTTTCTTTTACCTTTTTTGCTGATGACTTTAGGGAACTCAAAGGCTTTAGCTGAGGAACAGCCAAAGTGTTACAGGGGAAAAAAGCTCTCAGTCTGCTAGATATCTGGTATGAGTTTGTGTTTTCTAAAATCAAAGAATAAATTCTAGGAACAATGGGAAATTAAGAACAGAATACATTTATTGGGAGAAGGAAAGATTCTATCTGAGAGAGAGATAGAACGGGTCCTGAGTGGGTTGCTAAGGATCCTGCCTTTTCTTTTTTTTTTTTTTTTGGATTTTCTCCGGTACCGGGAACCGAACTCACGACCTTGCGCTTGTCAGGCAGGGCCGCTGAGCTAAATCCCCACCCACAATCCTGCCTTTTCTAGGGATGTTTATAAAGCAAATCCACAAGGCGAGGTGGGTCCAAGGTGGGAAAAAATGGGAAATCCCAAGGTGGGCATGAGGTGGGACAAAACTATGATCAGCCAATAAGATTATATGTATAATTGCTCAGGTAAATCTGGGTTCAAATGGGGAAGCGAGTCACATAGCAAGTGGGCATGAATATAGAACAGGTCCTTTTCCTGTTGGAGTTTGGATTAGTGACTCTTTCTGACTTCTCAAGGTGGTAAATACCTATTTAAAATATCAATACCTGATGTTTATCCTTAGGGAAATATGTAGGTGCATTTGTTTTATCTTTTGTCTTGAGGTCTGGCCTGCCGAAGATATGACTACTTCTGCCACAGATGCAAGATATCCATCTGGTCTTCTGCACTGGCTCCTTTGAGGGCCCAGCCCTATCTCACTTCCTATTATATTTTATCTAGCTTAATTGCTTATAACAAAAGGATGGAAACAGTCCATTTCTCTGAATTACCGTGTAAAAGAATGCCATCCATCCACTAGCAACACATCAAGTTATTTCAGTTATAAAAATGTTTCATAGTAGGTGGCCCATAAATCATTGGAGCTTATGTTATACATAAGTAAGAGCAGCCTAAGTATCACAATCATACTTGTTTACCATAAATCAAAATTCCATATTTTATACCTCATAGTAATTTTGTTATATTTCAGTATTAAGGATACTTACCACATACAGATAGAAAAGAATAACAGCACACTAGTTTTAACTGTCCATGCCATGACCACAATTTCAGCACACATAAACCATCATTTTTAATAAGCACATAGTTTCTATGTGGTCTATGCTTTTATCTATTTTCTTCTTCAAATGACCTTGGATAATACTGCTTCTATTTATTCTTAGCTTTACCTATGTCTGGTCTTTCATGTTTTTCAAATCTTCCTATCTAGAATTTGTTTTCTAGTGTTCCTCGAGGTAAATCTACTTTAACCAGATCTCAAGCCCAATTTCTCTGTCGTTTCATGTCTACCCCGCCTATTATAGCCCTGAAGGTTTCTCATCCTATCCATCCCTCAGTTTTTTTCTGTACCTCTGAACTACTACCTACCGTTGTAGGCAGCTGAGTTAGATAGAAATATAATAGGCAGTCAGACAGGACTGGGCCCTCGAAGAAGCCAGTATGGAAGACAAGATACCTTACAACTGTGGGAGAGAAAGGCACTCCTGCTGTGGGCCAGACCTCAAGACAAAGGATGAAGCAAAGGTGCCCATATACTTCCCTAGGGATGGACATCAGGGATTGATATTCTAAACAGGTATCTGTCACCTTTAAAAAGCCAGGAAGCATCACTAACCCAACCCTCTATACAAAAGACCCCTATTCTGTATTCTTGCCTACTTGCCACATAACTCGCTTCCCCATTTCAGCCTGATATAATTAATTTTACTTAAACAATTATACTTGTAATCTTATTGGCTGATCATAGTTTTGTCCCACTCATGACCACATAGCAAGTTCTCATGTTTTCCACCTTGGACCTGCCTCACCCATGGTTTTGCTCTATAAAATTCCTTAAAAGAGGCAGATTCATGGGCAGCCCACTCGGGTCCCTTCTGTCCCTCTCTCTTGGACAGAAGCTTTCTTTCCTTCAATAAATACATTCTTCTCTTAACCTCCGTTGTTCCTAAAATTCACTCTTCAATTTAGAGAACATGAACTCGTCCCAGATACCTTTCGTGTTGGGAGTTTCTTTCCCCCATATCACTACCGCTGTTTGACCTACCCAGTAACTTTTCTTCTTTGGAGACTTCACCCCACTGCTGTCTACTTAATGATTTCATCTCTTAATCTCCTGTATGAGGAATAGAAAACAATAAACTTACATTTTACCACCTTGAAAATGATCCTCTTTCTTCATTTATGATAGTCTTTCTCAGTGATCTTATAAAGCTGGATTCTGAATACTTTATAAAAGTAATTGGTTAGTTATTGTTTTGAACTGTAAACATATTTAATTTTCATAAAAAAGAATTTCTTATGTATAAGTAATAATGGTATTATACTATACAGTTAAGACGAGGTATTCCTATGATTGTGCCAAATACAGAGATTTTTCTTAAAAATTGAGTATGATAAGTATTAAGAAAGCCATAAACATTTGAAAACAAGGAAATTTCAAACATGCAAATGTGTCTCTAATAGTAATCTGTTCAAAACAGTTTCAAGAAACAAATCATGCTGGGAGTAGTAATGTATGACATTTAAAATTCTCTGCACTATGCCGATCAGTAGTATAACAGTAAAACATTTAAAGTTTATACAGAGATAGTATATTTATTTAAAAGATGTCTGTAAAGTTTTCATAAGGTTAAAAAGAGGTAGCATTCTATTTGCTTCAATTTAGTACAATGTTTTTAAAGCAAAGTAGGCAGAACAAAGGAATATTATGATACCAAGGTAATGTTGTTTATACATTTTAAATTATTTATTTGTTTTATGAAAGCAAGTTAAAGGATTTATAGTTCATTGAAGCAAAATAAGATATCATGCTTAAAATGCAACTATAAAAATTATATCAAATAAAAATATTTGCATAATGTGTTCTTATCAGTGCTGTAAGAGGAATCAAGGTTGATAAACAGATTCAGGAACATAGCAGCAGGCTAAAAATGAGTTGACAAATACAATAGAAGGTGAGAAACACAAAAAGTACTTGTAAGAGTTTAGCAAATTTGTTCAGGTGCAGGTTACATAGAAGTTCATACAGAGTAGCTACTCCCTATAAAATACACCTTTATAAGGCTGTATTTCATTCTATGAAATACTCTTCAAAAACCAGAAAAAATTTATTTGGCTGTAGTTTTTCATTTAATCTCTGAAAATTTATTTGATGGATCAATTATAGTAAGATTTAAAAAATTAGTTAAAAATTGTAGGTAAGTAATATGTAGGACAACTATGCATTATAATACCACTCACTGTAGAATAAATAAAAAATTTCATTATTATTTTCTGATAAGTTTTTCAAATATTTAGCATAGTGTTAATATACTCTCACAAACAATTTATATTGGATTATAAACAAAAAGAAAATAATTGATTTAGTATGAAAGCTTGAATATTTTTTCTGTATAATTTTCAAATTAATTTGGAATTCAATGAATAACTGGGTTTCATGATTGGCTTTAAAAGTTATTTAGTGGTTGGGATTTTTCTCCTTTAAATATTTATACAAATGCAAACAGCAGATAAACAAAGATATAAATACAGTTTAGTGTGTATCTCCTCAGTCAAGTTCAAGTGTTCTATCAATTAGAACCTAAACTAATTCAAGACACCTGCATAATGTGTTCTTATCAGTGTTGTAAGAGGAATCAAGGTTGATAAACAGATTCAGGAACATAGCAGCAGGCTAAAAATGAGTTATGCTGCCAGGTGGTATGCAGAATACTGGGCTTAAAGTGGGAAATTTTAAAGGTGTTTTAGTTATACATGTGCTATGGTACAATTTGTGCATTAAAACAGTGACTTGTGATGCACAGCTAGAACAATCCTGCAACTTGAAACAAAGATGATACCTATGAGTTGAAGTGCTCATGTACTTCCTGCTGGCCACCTGACCTCCTTTCAGACCCCCCCTTTTTTAGTTCACTGAGCTACAGGTTATAAAGAGGCAAAGTGACAGCTTTTAACATGTAAATATTACCTCCAATAAACTAGGTCAATCTTACTGCTTCTCAGGTATAGCTCCCTGGAGTCTGCAGGGAGACGGAGCAGCAGGTTGGGGAAACTGTTATATAGCTACTTCTCTAGTGGCTGCAAAAGCTGCTGGAACAGATCTAGGCAATTTCCCTGCCTGGGAACTGGCCTTCTTGCTCACCCCCAGGCCAACAACGAAGGAGCAAATCCTAGCCTCTGTTTCGAGGTTTCTCTAGAGCTCTGAAAATTAATACTTCTCTGAAAATATTTTATATTCAGGAATGCCTCATTAAGTCATGAGGGTCAAGCATAATAATATGAGATAAGATGGTGCATTTGGAAGGGCCAAGTCATTATTGACATGAGTAGGGATTGAATTTAAAGAAAAAAAGAATAGCTATCAGTATATCTTGAGTGCTGCTATAGGTATTTAGCTGGAGGGATAAAAGTCAGGACATACAACTGACCTTTGTTCTGTGAATTTCATTAATTCTAAAATCGATAGGTAGATTACCTAAATATCCCTGTTATATTCTTGTTAAATTCAGGGCTGGCCAGAAGAAATTCTTCTGAAACTAGTAGAGCTATTACTTTCACTTTGTTTTTATCATTCCCATTGTACTGCCCTAAAAAGCTTTTCTCCTGAATAAATAAAATACAAAATTTGAATGTTGTCCATGAAAGCAGGAATGGAGGATTCACACTGTTAGTTTTCATGCTCCTTATGCCTTCCAAAATCATGAAATTACTCATGAATTATCTTATCAAGAGCAACATTCTATGCCTTGCTTTTTTTCTCCTTCATTGAACATTTTTCCATTCAAGTCTATCTACAGTATCCATGTTGGTTTATATAGAATCTAGTTTACTACTTTAAATTCTGTGCTGAATTCCATCATGTAAATAGGTTATAATTTATATATCTCTTCTGATGGAGATATTGGGATTAATTCCAAACTTCTACTTTTATAAAACCATTTCAGGACAAGTGGTGATGCGTGTCTCCTCCTTTACAGATGAGGGAATTTCAATAAGCTATAGAATGAAAATGGAAAGCTGTAGTGCTGATGGTGCACAAGTTCCCTTGTCCTGGAAAACCTGAAACTTCTGTCCACTCTGCTTTTACCAATATACCATTCAACAAAGTTGTATAAGCTCCCACCCCCCGGTGCTACAAGTTCTTGATAATGCCAGATTCATTATTTTGCCCATCACCTGCAAATGAAAAGAATCTCATTTTTCAAAATTTGTATTTCCCTACAGGAATGCAAAATGGTTGAATGACTTTTCATATGTGTATTGGCTATTCTGTTTCCTCGCTTACTAATTCTTATTTATATCCTTTGCACATATTTCCTGTTGAATCGTCTTTTATTATTGATGTGTACTGGTTACTTATATTCTCACAATACTTTTATTTACTATAGATATTGGAAATATCTCCTCAGTCTATAGTTAGGACTCTAACTTTATTTATACTATATTTGTCATATAAAAGACTTATCAAATGCAATCTTATTAATTACTCTTCTAATTTTGCTTTGCATCACTTATATTTTTATAGTGCTTTAGACTGCCTTTTTGTTAACCATACCCCCATCCCAAATATATGTGTTGAAGCTTTCACCTCCAATGTGACTATATTTAGAGATAATGCCTTAATAATTAAACTTAAAGAAGGCCATAACAACAGTGTATTTGTAGACTCAGACTGAGTTAATAAAATACCACACACTGCGTGACTTCAGCAGCAAAAGTTTATGAGAATTTTGAAAAATGAAAAATTTGAGATCAATTTACCAGCAAAGAAGACTTCAGACTGACACTTCTTGTCTGTTTTTGTCTGTGGCTTCCTTCTTAGTTTGTGCTCATAAGGTAGACAAGCATTGTCAAGGGGACAAAAGATAGAGGGACTTTTGGACCTCAACCCATGAACTGTGACACAACGAAGGTGAATATATATCTTTTACCCAATTTTGCCTTGCCAACACTTCTCTTATCACCCTGCTCTTAACACAGGACCAGCTACAAGAAGCAGCAGGATGACACCGTGACATCTTCAAGGAAAAAAATAGTTCCTGGTCCATAACCAACACAAAGAAAAAACCCTTTAAAACATGAGGAAGATTTTTCTAAAATGTTTTATAGTCATACTTCAGTGGAAAACTAACAAACTGTATCTCCACATCAACTCCATAAAGTTGTCTCCCTCACTTTGTAAAGGGGGCACCATGTTCAGGTCTCTCAGTACTGTCAACCATCCCCCTTCCTGTTCCCTCAGAGCTTTTGCCCATGAGCTTATGAATTTACCTCAGCTTTAATTTTCATTATCCTTGAAGCAGAAGCTTCTTCCTGTTCAGAATCACTGGTATGCACTCTTCTTGAAAACATGCAGAGAGACAACAGATATTCTACTTTCTTTTCTCAGAAGGACATCAACCCTATCAAAATATAACCTGACACTCTGAATTTGTATTTAATTATTTTTACAAAATCCTATTTCCATGTAAGTCACAATTGGACATTTCAACTTCAATATATGAATTTAGAGTGTTTTAGTCCATTTTCTGTAGCTATAACAAATAGCTTAGGATCACATAATTAAAAAAGAATAGAGATTTATTTGTCATGACTCTTGAGGCTAGGAAGTCTAAGGGCATAACAACAGTATCTGGTGAGAACCTTCTAGTAGCATCATAGAATAGCAAAGGACATCACATCACATGATAAGACAAACATAGCACACATGCTAGCTAAGGACTGTCTTCTTTTTATAAAGCCAGTAATTTCATCACAGAGACCTTACCTTCATGGTACTTCATCTAATGCTAGTCATTTCTCACAAGTCTCACTTCCAAATATGGTCAACATGTGGGGTTTGGGATTAGATTGTCAATGAAAAGAATTTTGTGTGATACATTTAAATCACCAAAGGGAAGACACATTCAGTCCATGATAGATACAGTCATGAAATGCTAGGTTTGGTAGCTTCATAGGAAAAGGAGTATGCTATATCTGTTTTTCTTTGTCTCACCACATGTTCTGAGAAGAATGGGTATGTGTGAAAAAAGTACCCACTTACAAGGTAAGAAGAGTCTGCTTCAGAAACTGAAAGAATTGGAATTTTGATCTTGGACTTTTACCCTGTAGAACTATAAGAAAAAGAACTTATTTTGTTTAAACCACTGAATCTATCAGATTTTATATAGGAGACTGAATTAACTGAGATATATAGCAACATATTTTTATCCAACTCATAAAATTATTCACCTATAATTACTTTTTAAAATTTTTATATACATCTCTAGAGTATTCAACCTATGTAGTAAACACACACACACACACACACTGCAGGTGTGCACACACATGTACATACTGTAGATATACATGAATGTACATATATACCATGAACAAAAATTGTTCTGAAGACAGTGAAGAGATATTATCACCACCAGTTTGTAAACTTTCATCTTTTACCCTGATTTCATATGAAGTTGCTATAATCAATGGGCTCTACTATTTGTCATTTGGTTTATTGTCAATCTATTCATATATGAAGGCCACTTTACCCTAAATATCATTCTAGTAATACTGTCATCATACCTTAAATACCTTAAATGCATTCTAGTAATAATATTTTCATATCTGGTAGAGCAACTTTACATCCACCATGTTCTACTAGTATTCGTTCTTTGATAGTGTTTTGCCCATTCATAGATTCTTGAAGAAGCAATGCTTCTGAAATATTGATATGCAAAGAAGCCACCTAGGGTTGGGGTGATTCATTAACTCTGGAATAGGACCTGAGATTATGTATTTTCAGTAAAGCTCTGTGCTAGCCAAATTTCTATTACTGCACAAAATACCTGGAATAAATCAATTTAATAAGAGAAAAATGTTTTGAATCCTTGTTTTATGGATTTGAGGCTAGAAACTCTCCTGTGTTGATTACCTGTGGTGTTCTTGGTCCTTTGGTGAAGGAGTACATTATAATGTGGGTGCATGATCGATGAAAATATTCACCTCATGGTGGCCAAGAAGCTGAGAGAGAGGCATTAAGTGCTGGAGTTCCATTAATTCTTCAGTGGCTAAACCCAGTGACCTTAGCTTTTTTCAAGTAGGCCCCATCTCAAGAAGGTTCCCCTATGTCACAATAATGCCTTTGTCTACTCACCAAACCCATAACACATGGGCCTTTATGAGACATTTATTCCAATCACAGAATTCTGTCTATGGCTCCCAAAGTTACCTGTCCATCCCATAATTCTGAATGCTTTTAATCCTTCTCCAGGAGTCATCAAAATTTTAGGTATTCCAGCATTGCTTATGAGTCTGACTCCAAATTCTCAACCAAGATTTAAGGCAATGGCTCTGTAAAAATCAAAAAGTAATGTACATAATTTGAACCAAAAGTTCAAGGCAAATATCCCTGTTCCAAAAGGAAGAATGGAAAAATAATGAGAAAATTAGAACAAAGCAAAACTGAATTTCACCAAGGCAAACTCTAAGTTCTATAGCAACATATCTGACATTCAGGAAATATGGCATGATTTGTGCTATAAACAGATTGAGTAGCCCCGTCTCCGTGGTTTTATTGGTGGTGGCCCACAGGGCCACTGTCTTGTGAAGGCTCTACTCATCTCCTGCAACATATCTTGGTGAGTATCCAATTATCTGTCATCTGTAACTTCTTTGGGTCTTGACTGACACTTTAGCCTCTCTTTCACAGCCTCACATATGTGCTGCTCTATCAGGAATTTCTTGAAGGAACTTTAGTACTGCCACATATTTCCCAATCTCCTAGGTCTTTGAAATCTCAGTGGAAACCTGTATGATCCTATTAATCTTTATTACTTGTGCTTGAACAATCAGCACTGTGTGGATAATGCCAAGGCCTAGTGCTACTGATGAATTCATGCCTGCTTGTGCTGCTAGGAGGTATGGCTTATTTAAAAGTTGGTCCCTGGTGACATGACCTAAATGGGTGTGTTCTTATTCCCAATGATTCCCTTTTTTTCCTCTCTCTCTCTGCTTCCTGGATCCATGGGTTAAACAGCTTTCTTCTTCCATTCCCTCCCACCATGGTATTTCCACTTTGGAGCCAACCAACCAGAGACTGAACCTCCTGAAATGGTGAATGAAAATAAATTTCTCCTCCTGTAAGTAGTTGTGCTGTGTATTTTGTCTCAGTGACAGAAAAGTAATTAATAACACTGTGCTAGAATATTTTGTCACCTTGAAATTTCATCCACTAGATACAATACTTTATCACCAGGTACCCATTTATACATAACTGGGTCTTTATATTTGGGGGCCCAGTTTTATTTTGAATTCTCTATGTATTCTAGATGTTATTTCTCTTTCAAATGTTGCTAGTTGATACATTTTGTATGGTTGAATTTCAGATTTTTTCAATTTTTCTTTTCAGTATATATTTGCAGTACTATTTGCATTTTTTATTTTGTCTTTTTGAGACAGGGTCTCATTATGCAGTCCAGGCTGGGCTTAATCTCACTTTGTAGCCCAGGCTGGCCTCACAGTGATCCTCCTGCCTCAGCCTCCCAAGTGTTGGAATTACAGGAGTGCACCCTCATGCCCTGCAGTACATTCATTTTGTAATCAGACCACTGTACAATGAAAATAGAAATCAGCAGTACATAAATCACAAAAGAATTAGAAGCTCCTGGAAAATTAATAAGACACTCCTAATTAACTAATGGGTCACAGAAGAAATGAAATAAAAAATTAAGAAATTTCTGGAAGTTAATGACAATGACTGCACAATGCTGGGACACTATGAAAGCAATTCTAAGAGAAAAATGCACCACAGTCAGTGCTCACATTAGGCAAACAGAGCAAGCTCACATAGATTACATTCAGAGAAATCTTACAATACTTGAGAAACAACAATTCCAGCCCAAATTGAAATTAAAGAGGGGAGTCATAAGGATAAGAGTAAAAATCAAGGAAATTAAGACAAAGTACAAAAAGTTAAAGAACTGAAGAACTGGTTCTTTGTAAGAATAAATAATTTAAATATTATTTCTTTGAGGAGTAGCTGCAAAATCATTCCCATTCTACAAATTGTCTCTTTATTTTGTTGATGGTTTCCTTTGTTGTACAAAAGCTTTTTAGTTTGATGTGATCCCATTTGTTGATTCTTGATATTTTTTCTTGTGCAATCAGAGATCTCTTTAGAAACTGCCTACATCTACGTCTTAAAGTGTTTACCTGTTTTGTCTTCCAGAAAATAATTATTTCTGTTCTAATATTTGGATCTTTGATACACTTTGATTTTAGCTTAGTGCATGGTGAGAGTTACAGGTCTATGTTCAACCTTTGGACTATGGAAAGGCACTTTTCCCAGCACTATTTATTAAAGAGCCTATCTTTCCTCAGTATTTGATGCCTCTATCAAAGATAATATGGCTGAATATGCCTGGAGTTATTTCTGCATCTTCCATTCTATTCCCTAGATCCATAAGTATGTTATTTTTTGTTTGTTTAGCCAATATCATGCTGTTTTTAAAAAGACAATAGAAAACTATTTTGAAGGTAGCAATATGCAATATAATAATCATGCTGTCTTTTTATCACTGTAGCTTTGTAATAATTTGAAGACTAGGCTTGTGATTCCCCCTACCTTGCCCTTGTTGCCCAGATTGCTTTTTCTATTCTAGGTCTCTTCTGATTTCATATGAATTTTTAGGATTGTTTACTACATTTCTGTAAGGCATGCTATTGCTATTTTTAATTGAGATTACTTAAATTTATAAAGCAGTTTTGGAAGTACTCTGTGGCCTTTCTGATTTTATTGGTTCCACTTATCCAGAAACACTGAATGCCTTTGCATTTTCTGATATCCTCTTCAAACTCTTTTTTAGAGTATTATAATCTTTCTTTTTTTTTTTCCACAATCTTGGTTAGTTTAATTCCTATGTATTTCATTTTTCTTGGCATTATTGTGAAAGGTATTGTTTTCCTAATTTCTCTCTTGGGGAATTTTGTACTGGTGTACAGGAACACTATTGAATTTTGAGGATTGACTTTATATCCTGTATTTCTGAATTTGGTTACTAGCCTAAGTGTCTTTCAGTGTGGTTTTGGGTGTCTTCTTTGTAGTGTATAATGTCACTTACAGATAGCGATAATTTAACTTCTTCCTTAACTCTCCACATGCACTTATTTCTTTATCTTATCTATTTGTACTAGCTAATGTTTTGAAACTATTTTGAACAGAAGTGGTGATTTGGGGAATTTTTATCTTTTAACATCTCTCTCTTTAGTATGATGTTGGCCATTGGTTTTCATTGATTTTTTTTTATCAGGTTAAGATAAAAACCTTCTATCATTATTTTCTTCAGGCTTTTAATCATGAATTTTATCAAAATCTTATCAAATATTAAAATCTTGCTCATTTTTAAAAATAAGGTAGGAAACTAATGGTTATTGAGTTAATTTACAAAACAATTTGATTTTGATTAAAATATTTTTGATTCTTTGAAAGAACATGATACTTACCTCTATTTTTGTTTACATGTTTTTATGATGTATTTTAATTGTCTTCATAAAGGGTGCTTTTTGTCACATTTTTCTTTAATACCTTATAATGTATATTGCTTTGTAAATAGTAATTTGTTCTAATTACTGTTTTAATACTAAATAATGGAATTGGAGGTACATAAATACCACTCATTTTCTTTCTTTCTTTTTTTTTTTTTTTTTGTTTGTTTTTTTCTCAGTACCAGGGATCGAACTCATGCCCTTGTGCTTGCCGTTCAGGCACTGTGCCCCTGAGCTAAACCCCTAGCCCAATCACTTATTTTCATATGATGATTTTATAGTCCGAAATCCCAATGAACTTCCTAATCAATTCTAGTATTGAAAAAAAGAAATTTGCTTCTTTCTTACAAATAAGTTTCCTGGTTTACACTGACCATATTAGGTACATAGATTTCTTTTTTTCTTCCTTTCTTTTTTTTTTTTTTTTATTTCGCATTACCTGCTCATGAAAGGTATGTGTAAAATTTACTGGAACTTATTTTCCTTGTCCTTGTTCTCTTTCTGTAAAGGTAGATTTGTTCTAATTTTTGGAATGCTGATTTCTTTTTAAACTTTTACAGTGACATATAAACATGTTTTCATTCTTAAGTCAAATTTTCTTCACTTTTTATAGAACATTTTATTTTAAATTATGGTTTGAAAACTCTTGTGGCTTCAAGAAAATCTATCAATGATATCTGAGGTAAAAAAAAAATTCAAAACCACATTGTAATAAAATATATAATATGAAAGGTTTTATATTTTTTATAAAATGGTTTATGAAATATTAGTCTTTTCTCTATTATTTTCTCCTAAATTTATGCTAAACATTTTCAGAATTCTAGACATTAAACTGGAATATCTTTAATATTAGATTTAATCTAACATTCAGCTGACTTTTAAAGAAAAAGGACACTCTTCTGCCTTCTTTTTTTCATCTTTTTGGAAAAGATTACTTGCTGTGTTAGCTTTACATCACTATGACAAATACTTGAAATAAATTAACTAAAAGTGTGGAAAAGTGTATTTTGGACGTTTCTTTCTGTGGACACTTGGCCCAGTTGCTTCTTTTTCCATAGCGAGGAAGAACATGATAGCAGGAGTATGTGATAAAGAAGTTGCTCTCATCACCCAGCTGAAAGACGAAGAGCAAACAAGGACAGGGCTAGGGACGCAGTATCCCCTTAGGAGTGCAATCCAAGTTACCTAATTTCCTTAAAGGTTCATCACCTTTCAGTAAAGCCACCCTGAAGCCAAGCTTTCAGTGCATGGGGCTCTGAGGACACTGCAGATGCTAACTATAACAGTTAATTTGTATAGTTTATATGTAAATTTTATAACTATAAATACATTTATATTAATTTGAAATGAGGCTATTATTGTTGTTTTGTAAAGTAAGTAAATAAATTTCTATTTTAACTCTTTTAATTAATAAATGATAAATACAATAAAGTCTTCAAAATTCAAAATGTTTGGTATACAAAATAAATTTTAAGAATGTTGAGTACCTATGACCAAATGGCTTGGGAAGTTGTATTGTAAAAATCATTTATTTTCTTTACAGTTTACAATTTATTTATATAGACAGGTATGGTGGTGCACACCTGTAATTCCAGCACTCGGGAGGCTGAGGCAAGAAGATGACCAGGGATCGAACTGCAAGTTCATGGCCAGCCTGAACTACAGTAAGATCCTGTTTCAAAGAAAAAAGAAACCCAAAAATTTCCAAATTTTTTTTCTATAAAAGTATACTTGGTGCAGCCTTAAAAATATTATATCAATTCCTGTTAAAAAATTTGTATTTTTCTTTTTATTTTATTTTTCTTAGTTTTTATTTTTTACTAGTACTGTATTTTATTTAAGAAGGTGACTTTATGTTTCACAAAATAGCCATATTTGTTTTTTATGTATTGCTTTAATAATATTTGTGATTTTTTAAAAAAATATTCTTTTGGTTTAATTTTATGTTGTTAATCTAATTTCAGAACTACTGGCTAAATCAGTCATCTTTTAGACAAGTCATATCCTAAGAAATCAAAGCTCCTCTCCTCACATGTGATGGTGTCATGCTACTGACCTTGATTTTATGAACTAGTTTTCTTTGGCTGACAGCCTTTGTATTATTTGGGTATCATTTTCCTAGTAGAGTAGAAGTCTCAGCTACTACTTTCTCTTTTCCATTCCTGAGCTGCAAAAGGCTCTTGAGAAGTTAAATATGCATAAGGAGCGGAGAGGGGCAAATGCCTTCCAATCATTGTTTTCATAGACTGTGGAATTCCAGGAAGATAATAATTTGGAAGGGCAGCCTTCAGCCAGCCACCTTTCTTTTCCTTCTTTCATAACTCTAGCTGGTATTATGATTGTGAATATTAAGGGGAGGAATAACAGTAAAATTAGTTGAAAACTAAGATTTGAAAAGCAAGGCTGTACTCATTTATAATGTATTTTTAAATTCAATTTTTCTTCGGTTAGTTTTGAAGTTAAACTTGCCTGTTGATATTAGGAGACATGACTTTAATACAATTCTGCAGAATTTGGGAAGTCAAATTTGACTTGATTGGCTTTATTTTTTTCTACAAAATTCTAAAGGGGCATGACTATTGAGAAGAGGT